TTTTGTTAGTTTGTTTTGTTTGGTTTTTTCCTCTTTCTTCTTTCTGTTTTTATCAGGCTGTTCTAAATTGATTGACGTGCAGAGACTGTAAGGGTACTAAAGAGGTAGTGGTCTCCTAGACGCTGGGACATAACCTCAGGCTGTGGTATCCTTTGAGGGGATCAGTACTGGTTTCCCAGCACAGACCCTCTCCTGTTCAAAGAAGAGCTCAGCCCATTGAGCAGGACTTAGAGGCTCCTGCGCCTGCGCCCAATCCAGCTGAATGGCCATGTAGTGTCACCGGGGCTGGCTTGGGGCTCTGGACAGGGCTTCCAGGCTCTGGCTGCACTGCCTGTAAAAATGAACAGCAGAACATTAAAAGCGCCACTCAAGAGCTTGCCAAAAAAATGTTTGAGTATGTTGCCAAGGTGATGGTGAATGGAGTTAAGTCCAGCTGGTGTGCAGTCAAAAGTGATGCTCACCCAGGGCTCAGGATTGGGGAAGTTCTCTTTAATATATTTATCAATGATGTGCATGAGGGGATTGAGCTCACCCTCCGTAAGCGTGCAGATGACTGGGAGCTGTGCAGGAACCCAGATAAGCTTGAGGGTCGGAAGGCTGTGCAGAGAGACCTGGGCAGGCTGGATCACTGGGAAGAGGCTCGATGAGGCCAAGTGCTGCGTCCTGCCTTTGGGTCACAACGACACCCTGCAATGTTACAGGCTTAGTGAAAAGTGGCTCAGCACAAATGGACCCAGGGTTACTAGTTGACAGCTGGTGCAATATGAGCCAGCAGCGTGCCCAGGTGGCCAAGAAGGCCAAGAGCATCCTGGCTTTTAACAGAACAGGCATGGCCAGTAGGACTAGGGAAGCGATTTTACACCTGCAGTTGGCACTGGGGAGGCCACCGTGAATACTGGGTTCAGTTTTGGGCCTCTCGCTGCAGGAAAGACACAGAGGTTCTGGAGCATGTCCAAAGGAACGAAGCTGGTGAAGGCTTTAAAGCACGAGTGTTGTGAGGAGCAGCTGAGGGACCTCGGGTTGTTTAGCCTGGAGGAAAGGAGACTCAGGGGAGACTTTCTTGCTTTCTACAACTACCCGAAGGGAGGCTGGAGTGAGTTGAGGGTTGGTCTGTTCTCCCACGTAAGAAGTGACAGGACAAGAGATGGCCTGAAGTTGTGCCTAGGGAAGTTTAGGTTGGATATTAGGTAAAACTTCTTCCCTGGAAGGGTTGTCAAGCCCTGGAACAGGCTGCCTGGGGAAGTGGTGGAGACATTTAAAAGATGAGTAAGTGAGGTGTTGATGGACATAGTTTAGTGTTGGTCTGTCAGTGTTAGGTTAATGGTTCGGCTTGATGATCTTCAGAGTCTCTTCCAACCAAAATGATTCTATGATTCTATGCCTCTAAGTCAGGAGGGCTCAGGACTTGCATAAATTGAAAGAAACACAGTTACAAGGAAGAGTGCCATGTCATGGCCCTGGAAGAAAAGGCCTACCGCACCCTTGAAAGAAAAAGGAAGAAGGGTGCCAGACAACAGTCTGACCAAGACAAAAGAAGAAGAAAAGAGATGGAACAGAGCAAAAGGAATGGAAAACCCACCGAAAGAGTTCCTTTTCTACGTCTGGAAATGAAATGTATTTGCACAGGGTTGACTTCCACTCATGGCATCTCAGAAGACTGCATGATATCCGAGGCGGATTTGTTTGAAGGGTCCCCAGTGCAGCCCAGCATAGAAAAATGCCTGAGTGCTGCCTGCAGGCAGCTGGCCACCCTACACTGCCCTCGTCACAGGCACGCTGCCAGGTACCGTGCAAGTGTGTCTGCCTGTGAAAAACAGTGCATATGGAAGTGGTCACTAGCATAGGAACTTCTGGTCTTGGCTTTGTAGCCAGAGTGGCCATAGGAAACATCAGTGCCTTGCCAGGAATCTAGCAGCTTGGTCTAGGTATGCTCCATTGAGCAAAGGCAAGACTGGAGATACAGAGAAGAGAGAGCAAAGGAGGGAGCAGAGGAGAGCACGAGACCTGCTCTGAGCCAAGGCAGAGCAGAGGCTCTGAGAGCCAGAGGTGCAGCAAAGCCTGATGGAAGAGGCAGGAGCATCCTGCAGGTGCCAGGAGGCTGCACTCCTGCACCTCACGTCTCTTGGGAAGCAATAGGCTCTAGCAGAGGCACAGCAGGGACACAGATCCTAATGGGGATCCACGGATCCCCATCCCACCACCTGCACAGGCACCACCACCACCCACACATCGGTGTCATGAAGGCACCAAGAGCATGTGCACAACCAAAAGCACAGACACCAAAATCAAGGGAGGCAATTCCACCTCCCAGAATGGGAGCCCAAGGAGAAAGCACCATCGGGTCAGGGTCCCCGATGGGATGATTCCTAAGGGTTGGGGGAGCTCCTGCTTCTGTTACAAAGGAGCCAAGGCAGAGCCGTCCTGCCAGGGGGGAATGGACTTTGTGGTGATCAGGGTTCAGGTTTCCTGGGGCAGGTGAGAGCTGCTGAGCTGGCCTGGGGGCGAGGGCTGTGGGGGGCTGGCGGGCGTGCCCGTGATGCGCACTGGCGCCTGTGACACCACAGGCACACGTCACCGTGGCGGGCGGCTATAAAGGCGGCAGCTGGCAGCGATGCCTCAGTGCAGCCTGGGCCAGCAGAGAGTGCGAGTGCTGGGGGAGGCTGGGCTGGGCGAGGGCCGGGGCGCACACGTGGGTCCCCATTGGGGTGGCTTCTCACGCCGCACGCTGGGCAGGGCAGGTGCACGACTTGCTGCCTGCCATCTGCCTGGACCCCTCTCCTACCTGACCCCCACTCCCGGTGGTTCCTGGCCCTGCTCCCCACCAGCTGCCACCTCCCTCCCAGCCCTGCTGAATTCCTTCTCTCCCCCTGTCAGAACTCCATGGCTCCCATCCTGCTTGTCTCTTTGCTCCTGCTAGGCCTCATCATGTACCCTCGGAGTGTCGAGGATGGGCTGGATGAGGCCACGCGTGAGCGCATGCAGCAGCATCAGGAGTACCTGAGCTTTAAGATAACTGTGCGGCTGGAGCAGCTGGAGCAGAGCAGCTCTGGCTGGGGAGCCCTGGGCTTTTCTGCCTTGCAGGAGTGGCAGTTCTCGGCCATTGCTGGAGTCCTGCTCCTGCTCTTGGGGCTCTGCTGGAGGCTCTGGAAAAGGAGCCGTGAGCTCAAGAGCCGCTGCAATGAGGAGAGCTCCAGCAGCAAGACAGTGCAGGAGGACAAACAGGAGCTGGAAGAGGAACCAAGTGAAGAAGATCTTGCTCATGAGAGGCGCCTGGACAGGACATTTTTAGAGCACGTCCCATGGCCAGTGCAGAAGGTGGTCGATGGGAGTCGTGAGGTGGAGGAGCTTGTGGGTGAACTTGTCCGTGTCTTCCAAGAGCTCTTGTCCTGCAGTTTCTTCCCACGGCTGGGGGCAGCGATCGGGGGGGGGCGC